GGGCGTGTGAGAAGCAACCACACATGGATGTTTCTCTCCCCTTCTTTCTCCTTCTCTTCCCCTCTCTCTAAAAATAAATAAATAAAATCTTTAAAAAATTGGCTATCACACGCAGGGTGGGCCACACAGCCCATAGGACTGTGGGGGGCCATAGGCCATACGCAGCCATTTTCTGGGATATTTTTTTCCTTGCATTTGCTCTCCTTTAATAACAAAACTGCAGACAGTATATTATAGTTTCAGATAAGAAAGATGACAGAACGTCACCCCTGGATTCAAAAGGCCTGGGCACTAGATTTTTTAAGAGAAGTGGAAATGGGAAAACATCCGTATCGTTTACATTAAAAAGATATGGCTTTCATGTGCGTGTATATCCTTCCGCAGTCTCGGCTTTGACTTATTCTGATTAACCAACCACCTCCTGGTTTTTGTTCCCAGTTTAGGAGAATCCCCTCGTGCTCCCGAATTTCTAAGTGAGGATTCTGGGTTTGGCCAGGTTGCCGTTGATGGAGGGGCCGGGTTTACCTATGCAGTTGAGATGCCTCATTCTCACCCTCGGTGAGCCACTGAGCTGAGCTCTGCGACCTCGCGCTGAGTGCACCGTCTCTCTTTTCCTTTCCTGGGAGTGTGGGGTCGGGCAGCGCCCCCCGTCCCTCTCCGCTTCATCATTAGGTTCCTTCGTAGCTCGAACTAGTGACACTCACTGCAGCCTCCCGTCGCCCACTTCCAGCTCCAGAGGCCCCTCCGGCCGGTCTGATGCACTGTTTGTGAACTGTAACATCCTGCAGGGGAGGTGTCGGGGCTGCTGCTGACGGGCGAGAACAGGGGGGACCCAGAGCTGAGAATCCCCAGGAAGGGGGCGGCAGGTAACTAAGGGCCTATAGTCAGTCCCGGCCTCTTTCCTGACCAGGTGCTGAACCGCACCCCCCAGGCTTCTTTATCATTGCACAGCCTTTATTTTGTAAAGCGGTGAGACAGGAATAATGGCACTCATTCCACAGAGTCACGGGCACCAAAAAAGGTGCAAGGTCAGACAGACGCCATGGAAACAGCAGCTTGACTACCATGCCCCACAAGCGACCGCCGAGGGCCTGTGCGGAGGAGGATGAAAATCTGGGCCCGCCTTCCCCACGAGGCTTCTCCAGAAACTCAGTCTGGGCTGACCTGGCCCCCCGCGCTGCTCCAGCATTTGCCGGGGTGGGGGGTCAGGGGGTGGATCTAGCTTCCCATCAGGTTGCATCCCACACTCTTCTCCAGCGATTCCACAGGGCTCATCCTCGGGTTCGAACACTATTGTGCCGGGCTGTTGTGTCTGAGTAAGATCTTCCTTCCTGGTGCAGAACGTTTTCCCAGCCATAAGGACATACACACACACGCAGGGTAAGCGAGTAAAGCCATGAGAAGGTTGCAAGGAGAAGTCCAAATATGTTTTAAATTGGCCCATTTTTTTCATTTACCTGTAGTCCTCCTCTCAGTGACAGCTCTTTCCCTGGGTGCTGAAGGTCACTGTCAAAGTGACCTCTGACCTGCAGCCATTCTCGTCCACGAGGAAGGAAAAAGCACGGATCCCCCAGGACTTCACTAACCTTGTGTAAAAATGACAGAGGAAGCCCTGGCTGGTGTAGCTCAGTGGATAGAGCACGGGCCTGTGAATCAAAGGATAGCGGTTCGATTCCCAGTCAGGGCGCATGCCTGGGTTGCAGACTGCTTCCCTGCAGGCCAGTTTCCAGCAGGGGACGCACGAAAGGCAACCATACATTGATGTTTCTCTCCCTCTCTCCTTCCCCTCTATAAATGAATAAGTAAATAAAATCTTTTAAAAAAAAAAGAGGGAGAAATCACATTGGATGCTTATGCTTTGGGAGTGCTGGTCGCTCTCGAAGAATAAGTTTACGATTGTGACGTAAGGACGCTTAGGGAGGGAAATGCTGAGAAGTCAGGAAACGCCCCTCTCACTTAACGCCGGACCTGAGGGTGCCGCTTCTCCACGCAGATGTTTTCTCCTGCCTCTCCCGTCCCCGCGTTCACGTCCTCGCCCCGTATAAGGTCAGCGCTGTCCTCCTGCTGTCCCTGCCCCTTCTCCGCACTCAGGGCCTCCTGCAGCCACGCACGGCTGCCCTTCTCTAAAAAGGAAAGAAGCTGCTCACAGGTGCGCGGTGCCGGAGCCAGGAAGCAGCACTGCGAGGGTCCCAGGGAGGCGCCCCTGCTCTGCACAGGCGCGCACAGCAGCGGGACAACGTCTGGACCACGGCCTGCCGGTCCCCTGCCCGGTCCCCCTCGCTCTGTGAGCAAGCTCTGCAGCGCCAGCCCCCAACCCCCCGGGGATGCCTCCAGTTCTCCTCATCCGCCCTCTTCACGTGTCTGGGTTTTTCCATGAAGCCGTTGCTGGCTCCACACCCCAACCCCCCATCCGACAGGGCCCATCACCGTCTCTCCGCGCTCCCCTGTGCCCTCGCACTTCCCGCCACCGCGTTTATTGTAGTGCATTAGATGGGCGTCTGCGCAACAGTCCTCCCTCCAGACCGGGAGGTCATTAATGGCCGGTTTCACGTTTCAACGCACATTGACCGACCTGGTGATTAGCACTGCCGATCCAGGGTAGCGCTGTTGTTTTAAATGTGTAGTTTGTTGAGGGAATGAATAGAACCAAGCATCAGTGACTGCGTGGACAGACAGACGGATGCATATGGGTGAGGGCATAAATGGCTAAATAAAGTGCTCTTACAATTACTTGACATGGCCTCTTTCACTCAGTGTCTGTTAAAATCCTATACTTAGTCTTTCTAGTCAATTCTTCTATTTTATAATTTTTCTCTAATGCCATTTGTCAACTCAAAGTAAATGCTAATAACCCACAACGCAAACAACACATATTTGTAGCTCAGACTCTCAAGGGCTTTCCAGGAATTCTGTTACAGAGTCTCCCCTGCACCCCAGCAGGACAGCAACTCCAACGATCGTGGGCCCCTGGGGAGACCGAGTTCTGGAGCTCCGAGGAACTTGCCCAGGGCCACAGCGTTTGGAAGCGTTGGAACTGGGCGTGAAGCCAGGTCGGTTCAGTGCAGACCCTGTTTCTAACGACTACACCACACTCGCCTCGTGGGTTCACATCGTTCCCTCTGGAGCTGAGGGTGGGCCCCACAGCTGGGAGTCCGTGAGTATAACTAACTGATCAGAGGGACTCAGGAAATGCAGCCAAGCCCCCCCCCCAGACAGACACGGGAATGATCACAACCCCGACCCAGGTCTCTTTGGATAATCCCACGTACCTGGGAAAGCGTATCACAAAGAAGTTCTAAGTAGTCCACTGCAGTGAACACACGAGTGAATTAGTACCACAGTGCACACACCGTTGCACCAGCATTCAAAGTGCACTGTCGGGTGTTACCTTCCCCCGGACTGGTGGAGGCTGCAAGGCAAGGTGCTGTCACCCTTCATTCGTGAGTACACTCACTCCAGACCCTGTAAACAGGTTTCTTAACGAGTGCTACGTGTGCAAGGAAAGGATTCATTTCCAGGGCCAATGAACTTGGGTAACATACCCATGAGTTTTCTTAACTCCTCTTCAAACACCTTTAAAATGAGTGATCTCGCTGCAAGTGTTTTTCCTGTGTAACAGATGAACACACTGTGCATTCTGAGGGCGCAGTGATGAACAAGCAGGACCCCAGGTTTGGGTGGTGACAGACCAGCCCGCAGCACTCGATCAGGGAAACTGAGGGAGAGGGAGAGGAAGCAAACCCTGGGGGGCCAGCAGGGTCCAGGTGAATGAGGCGGATGGAGCGAGGGAAAAGCTGGACTCTGGAAATCTTGGCTATGTCTCGGGGCTCAACCCGGCACCCCAAGCCGAGGAGTTCGGGCCGTATCCTGAGAGCAGGGGCGTCCCAGAAGGGTTTTCTGGGAGAGCATGGGGGTCGAACTTGCACCTGAGAAGCACGGCTTTGGCTGCAGCCCGGGGCGCTGGACGTGGGGGGGGGGGTGAGAGAGCCAAACTGCAGAGACAACAGAGGCCACGACCATGTGAATGGCAGTACGGAGAGGGGGTGCACCCCACCGGGCACGCTCCTTCCTTCTCAGTCCCGGCACTTGGCGTCCAGCCCCCGGCAGTGGGGGGGGACTGTCACTTTTATTTGACAGAGATCTTTACCCGCCCTCCACTTCTGCTCCAGTTTTATCAGGCGATTAACGCCTTTGTTGGATGAGTCTCAATCCTTCAGCCAAACTCCAAAGTAGTACTGGCCACAGACTATGAATTCTCTGTTCCGAACACGAGCACTCCTAACAATCTGTGTCTTTAAAAGCACAGACACTTTCTCTTTTCCATCACCCCTAAAAGTCTGCTTCTTTCCTTTAACACATAAGCAGAAGCTAAGTAAAATAATGCGCTCATTTTTCACAGTACACTTTTATCATATTCAGGGAAATAAAAAGAAAACAGTGAAGTCAAAAGAAATATACCCTTAAGGATCCTTTCCAGTGACAATCAGGAAGTACTATGAAACTACAGCCATCGTAAAATAAAGTGAATATTCTATTCACTTTATTTTATTTTACGCTATTTCGCTTGTATATTATTTTAAAAGCTGTCGGTGGGTTTAAATATTTAGGGGAAAATGAACACCTTCCTTTACCGACGGACTTGCGTTCAGTTTTGCCTTGTTCAAACCTCCGGGAGCCATCTGCCTCCCCCCCCTCCTGAGTTCTCTCCTGGAGACTGAATTCACACGTTCCCTGGGCTTTGTCCAGCCTGGCACAGGCACCTGCTCTTGTCTCCTGCTTCCACTTTCATTTCCTCAAGGAGGCAACAGGCTGGTCCTGAGAGGCCTGGCCAGCCAAAAGTTGTACTCCATGCAAAAAACAAGCTTTCTCCAAGTAGCTACGTATGTGGCCGATTTCATGTAGTTATCACGCACCAGATGGAAAGGCTCACCTGAACAAGCAGCACAAATCAAGCACGCCCACATTTGAGAACGTGCCTGCGATGGTCCGCACCCGCCTACCTGTATGTATCTGTGAATGAACCAGGAAGCTTGCTTGCCGTCGTTCACCGACTCCACAGTCGTGTTTGCCAAGCCAACTAGATCGCCGCCTGCGAACACCCACGGCTCGCTGGTCTGCATCGTCTCGGGGTCCACTTCTGGGAGACCCCATTTGTTAAATCTGATGGGGCTCAAGGCTTCTTTTACTGAAAAAAAAAAAAAGGTAATAGACAATGAGTAATCCGTGTGTTATATAACAATAATTTGAAGATTAAGGAAAATCACGATTTCATTATTGGTCTAGAGATCCAAGCAACTGTTTTAATGGCGCAAAAAATGCAAAGTTTGTGAAATGTCTGAGTTAGGAACACATTGCAAGTCATGGCTTAGCCACCTGAGACACCTCCGTGCAGAAATCCATGCGCACGGAGCAGGGCACGGTGTCAGACCTGCGTTTATGTCCAAGAGGTCGGAGTCCAGGTGGGAGGGACGCACATCCCTTTAAATCCATTTAAAACGTATCTTCTAGACTTAACTTGTCCATAACCGCTGCTTTCATGGGTTTGTTATCACCCATGGGACCCCAGACCTGCCTCCGAGTCACAGGTGTAAGTCACGCCATGAATCTGGATGGACGGCCCATCTGTTTATTTCACAGCAGAAGTTTCATTCATAAAATGACACAGACTCTGACGTTTACACCACATTATTCACACTTAATGTTAAGCAACTTCATGGCTCTAGAAATTAGCCATCAATTCTGGGGTTTTTTAACATCAGCAAATACAAACATTACCATCAGTTCCTTAAAACAGTTTCAAAGGTGCTGAAGTACCAGCCGAGTCCTGGGTTCGAAGACGGTGAACGTGTTGCGGAACTAGGAAGAGGCCGGGCCCCCTTAAGAACAATGTCTAAAGGGAATTCTGATTGGATACACAGCCCTGGTGTCTGGACGAGACCCAGCTGACCAAGAACACGAGGGAAGGTGGACAGTGCCACCTATGATGGAACAGGCTGAGCCAGTGTTCCGGACCAAGCGGTCTTCTCTCAGGGTCATCAGGTCATGAACTTGAAGTGCAGTCTCTTGGGACAGACCCCAGGAACTGCCCTTCTCTCCAGGTCAAAAGAGAACAGAACTTCATTCCTTCACCTTCCTACCCCTCTTCCCATCTGACAGCTGTCAGTCTGTTCTCTGTGTCTGTGAGTCTGACAACAGTGTGGAGACGACCGCAGGGACAGGGGGTGGGGCGAGGGAGGCAAGGGTGAAGGGGGGTAAATGGTGATGGACGGAGCCTCGGCCTGGCGTGCACACACAACACAACACATGGATGAGTCACTAGAGAGCTGCACGGCTGAAGCCTATACAACTTTACCAACCAGCATCACTCAATAGGTTCAATTAAAAACCAAAGGCACAAACATGAGAGTATACGACAACTTACACTAAAGGAGAAAAGCTGGGAAGATCCTGGAAGTTAGTAGTTGAATAGATTACGTCAAACATGAAAGAAAAGAAAATAACCATAGTAAAAAATGTTATTCTGACACCGAAAATCAGTTTCTTCTGAACACTAACAGAAACGAAAATAAACCCTTGTACGTTTATGTAACACACTACTTGAAGAATATTAGCATTTGAGGACATTATTAAGGGGTACACTTAGCTGTGTTTTCCCCGTAAGATGGCAGGCTCTACGCAAACAGGAGGGTGCCCACGCTGCTGGGCGCTGAGCCCCGGGCCCAGGACCGTCTCAGGGTTCAGGAATCTCTCCCTCCAGGGGACACACGGGTGGGTGGGTGGATGAGCGTGGACCGATGCTCAGGTTCATGTGTAAAGACCTGCTCCCGTTTGTGTCTCTGATGTGATTTCACCTTTCATCGAGTGGGAAATTAAATATTCATGTAATTATTTCCAACGCAGAATGGCATTTGGAGAAGATTCTTCTCCAGTCTCGAAAGGTCACAGGGAACGAGACCTTTACCAGCTGCGCCCCGCTGAGCAGGTCGTCACCACCATCTGTCGACAGCACCTTGAGTTGCAAGAAAGTCAACAGCGAGCTTGGCTCCTGGGCGCAACCTTTTATCAGCACGGCGCCCGCAATGCCTCGCCACCGCACGGCTTCTGTCGCGGGATATGTCTCTGTGTACAAAATAATTCTCCTGCGTGGGAAGGAGACGCCCATAAATCTTCATGTCCAAGATGCCAATAGATCTTCATCTCACAGAGTGACTGGAACAAAGAAGATGCTCCAAAAAGAAGAGACTCAAAGCCGCCTCACCGGGAATCAAAGCCCTTTCTGCCGTCTTTCTCATTTTCTTACAACTGTGAAGGTTGCTGCGAGGTTCACCGTCAGCCTGAGCAAGGCAGGGGCGATGCCCTCGTTACCCTTGGTTTCCCTGGGCAGTGGTTACAGTCGGAGACACGTGTGTTCGGCGAGGCTACGGCAGCCTGGGCTTCAGCATGTCCCGCTTGCTTGGGGCTCTTTCAAGGCTTCGTCCCTAAAAATGTAAATTTTCTTCTTTGTAGAGGAGTCTTCCGACTACAGGGTGGGGGCCAAAGTCCGTTTACAGCTGTTCCCATGGAAACCAGTCCAATAATAAATAACAGGACAAGAATAAACTCTTTTGAGCACTCACAACTGTAAACCCGACTTTGGCCCCACCCTGTACCTAAAGGCCTCGCAAAGCTGAAATCGACCTTGAGTACCGGGCCGTGTGCACGGTAGACGCTGAATTGAACTGAAGTTCTCGGATGATGGCTGTATGATTCCTTGCGCCGCAGAAACGTGGGCGGGTTGATTCGTTTTCACACTAGAGCTGCACCCCTGTCCCAGTCGACAGGCTGTCGGGAGGCGTCGCCGTGGGTTTAGTAAGCAACTCTTGCATTTCTCAAAATACTCAGCACCAACGCCCTCAGCCACCTAAGGGGCATTTCTTTGTGAAATCAAAGTGCTGTTCTGGGCACGGGTCTTTCTGCTGCACACACACTGTGTTACTGTATGTCCCTAAACATTCACTCATCTGCACATCTACTTTTAAACACCTGTTCTTCTTTCTCCTCCATGTGGGAATCCTTTGTGAATTATTCTGTCATTGGCAGTATCCAGCTAAACTCAGTAAACGCCAAGCAAATGCCTGACACTGTTCCGAGACAGAAGAGGAATGTTCTCTCACTGAAAAGATCCTCAGCCCCCTTTTGAAAGTTACCCACCAAGCGTCTCCCCTGCCCCTTTGCAGGCTCCAGTCGGACACGTCATGGTCTGGTCCAGTGGGAGAGATAAACGGGAGAGAGGCTGAGGGGTCACGGATGCCGCTGGCTGTGCGGGGGCTCGACACATTGCAGGAAAGCTCGCATCGTCGAAACAGAAACCACTTGTTTCCATTTAATGTCTCACACTTACTTCGTCAACATTGGAACAGGATCCTTGACACAGGAGAGTAGAAGTAACTATGTGGATGGAAGCAAAGCTACAGCAAGCCGCCTCTCAGTGGCATGGGCAGCCAACGCAAAGGTGAGTGTTGATTACTGCCTGGCCACCAAATGGTCAGGGTCACGCAGCATCGGGTCCCTGCGGGCCCGGCGGACTCTCTGGAAGTATGTGATCGGAGTGAGGCAGGCAGACGGAGGAGGAATCTGTGAACTTGTTTTCTGAAACTTTGTTGAATCTGATAGTATGGATCCAAATAGCACCCTTCATGATTCCGATGATTCTTTTGAAATAGCATAGTTATTTCCATTACTCAATCATATTTTTAAAGCTATGAAGTATTTACCATACTCATCAAATCAAGGATTCGGGCAGAAAAAGAGAACACTTTATTCCTAATTTGTTGCAAAGACATCCGGTGGTTTAGGTCCGTCTTATGAAGAAGGCTCCCACCTGCCCCCCCGAAGCAGCCCCCAGGGAGCACAGGGGTGCAGACCTCCAAGCAGGCCCCTGCTCTCCCCTTACCTAGCCTGGAAGGAGCAGAAGACGTATCCTGACGTTTACACAACAGGTAACTGCCTGCTGCTTCCTCTGCAGAGGTAAAGGAGTATCAACAAGAAGCCTCGTACCCTTTTTTTCTTTCCTGTCTGTAACCTAACAGAGGTGGGAGAGGCTAGGATCGGGCGGTTTCCCCACCGATTCTCCCGAGACCGCATCCTGGAGCCTTCTGCCCACACGTCTGGGAGCTCCGTGGCCGGGCAGAAGGCCCGCACATGCTTGCTCACAGCCTGTATCGCTCAGCAAACGGGAGGGAAGCGTGTTAAACACACGGTGCCTGGAGCTTGTCGTCTTTAAAAAGAAAGAAAGCGTCCTCCATTCACACCCAACACGGGAGATTTATGTTCATTTCCTGCTTTAATTACTACTGGGTTCTAATGAGTTTATTTAAAAAAACAAAGATACTGAGGTAGGTCTAAAACAAGAAGTGGCTTTGAAATGGAGACTTTGCGTCAATTTAATGTGATGCGTGAAGTGATTTTTTCCATATAGACTTAATTGCACTGTGACATGCAGGTTCTTCAATAAGCCACAGCTTAACACTGCAGAGGCCATCCCTCAGGGACATGTCACCAGGAGACGCCGGCTGCCAAGGTCAATTAGGCTGACAGAGCTGTGTTGCCAGGTCTGTGCAGAGAAGCCCACACGCATGTGACAAGTGTATTCCTGGGTATTTATGAAAGGGTGTCAAGGACGTTATATCTTAGTGCATAAATATAAATTTATCCTCCATAAACAATACAACAGAACGCATAATGAAGAGGGATGGCTCCCCTCCTAGGGAGCGTCTGAGATGCTACAAAACCATGGTGGGGGGAGGAAAAACGCAACATTTGTAACAAAATGGCATCCTGAAAACGCAGATGGAGTCAACTGTGTGCTTGCTGTTTAAGTCTGGGTAGCCTGTTAGCCACCAGGACAAAGCACAGTGAGATGGACACACACAATGAGACGATAGTCCGGGAAACCAAGGCAGAAAACAGAATCGCGGCCAGAGCAATAAACGCTCAGGTCAGGTCTAAGCCGAGTCTCAGAGGCCGGTGTAACCTGGGGGAAGGAAAGGGCAGGGCCAGGCCTCGCCTCCAACCACCAGTCATGGAAGCCCCTGGATGGGCTCTGTCTTCCCAAGTCCTTCTGTGACTCAGTTTTCCCAGCGATGGGCTACCCACTCCCAAACACGATGGTGCCCCAAGGAAGAGGCATCATTTTCTTGCCTAATC